CCCGAAACTGTCACGGATTGCGTGGGAGGTGTTGCATGTAAGTACCTCAATCATTTTTTTGCGCGCAGAAAAGCGAGGCAGCCAGGTCGATTGCAGATGCTTGCGATTCTGCGGTCAGATTGAACCAACACTCTTGCTTGGCTTTTCTCTCAACGACTGTCCATTGCAGCTGGGCTTGAAGGCTGGGCGATTGCGTGCTGACCTTCTAGATTCTCCCAGCTTTGCCTTTAGCCATGGAGACATGGAGAGAGCATCTGGCCGCCCTCGGACAAGAGCTCGAGACAAAATCCAGCTTGCTCCAGTCCCTGCGATTGCAGAACTGCCAACTGGAGGAGGCTTGGCAGCTCTCGCAAAACCATTAGCAGGCCCTGCTCGTGGTAGATGCTGTCTGCAGTAGCCGAAGAGTGTCTGCACTCGCGAGTCGCGAGTCTTAAGAGCTTTGACTTCCGATCCCCGCGTTCCCTGCGACGTGTCAGAAGGTGTTGTTTGTGTGGACCTCTATCGAACTGCCGCAGTGATTCTCAATGATAGTGCCATGCCACGTGTTGCGAAAAGAGTAGAAGAGGAGCTTCACCTGTAAACGTTAAACGCGAAGTATGTTTTGTCTTTTTTGTCTTTGGATGGCAGGCCTTGGCTCGCTGGACCCAGCAGGGCCAAGCACGGGGAGAACTGGCACACGGACAGGCCGGACAGGCCGGACAGGATGCTGAGTCCGGGAGGCTGCGCGGCCATGCGTCGGACCCGCAGCCAGGGTGCTGGTCGGTGGATGAAGTTGGACAGCTTCCCGGCGAAGCCGGGCATTCGCTACCGCTTCAGTGGATTACCCCGCAGTCTCGAGCCGCGAAGTCCTTGTCCTTGGCGCTGGGCGCTGCCGGCATGAAGATCGCCCAGCAAGCTGCGCAGCAAACGCCACAGGGCCAATGGCTCGGCGACAAATCCCAGAGCTCGTTAAGCACACACATCTCTGGCGGCCAAAGCCGCGTCTCTTCACAAAGCACGTTATCCTCACCACTGACTCGGCACAAGACGGCGGCAAAGTCAAGGCTCATTGAGGAGGGTGGAATCAAGTTCGCAGTCTTGAGGGCAAACGAAAATACCATCCTCTCGGTGCAGAAGCCATGGCACCTTGTTCAAGTTACTCTGTGAAGAGGCTCGTTTCGTAAGAAAGCCTCTGCAGTTTGAACGCCTTTGAAACGGTTGCTTGGTGCACGCTGTTCTCGAGGTACATCATCAATCCGGACAGGAGCCAGTTTGCCAGCGTGTGGCAATTTGTGATGGGCTTTGCCCTGGTTTTCGTTGC